ATAGGCCTATTTCTACAATTACTGTATTTATTACTGTATCTTCTTTGTATTTGTATACTTATGTGTTTTTGACTCTATTATTTTACTTTTTAATTTTAATTTTTAATATACAAAATTGCGCTATTTATTACACATAATAATAATATTAATAATAATAATTAATTTTTATCATTATTATATATTATTATTATTATTATTATTATTATTATTATAATGTAATAGGCCGTATACCTATTTAAATTATGTATAGAAATGAAAAATTAGAAAATATATACTGACAAAATGAAATACGATTGAAATGAAGGTGGGTAGGACTAATGGAAATTAAGTCCATTCTATTTTGTGCTGTACAGCAATCAGTTTCCTTTCAGGAGGACATATACATATATATATATACATATATATACGTATATACATATATACATATATAAATATATACGTATATACATATATATAAATATATAAATCATCAAAGGTACATATATATATACACATATCTATATATATATATAAACATATGTATATATATATATATATAAATCAAGATTATATCATTTTAAGTTTTAAGTAATGATTATGTCATTTAAGTCGAAAATAAGTAAACAGGTTATCGCGTCGTGAATAAAAATGGCAAACGAGTCCGATTATCCTGAGTGGTAGCCTCTACGATCCAGCAAAAATAAACAACCCACAGGACTTAATAAATACATCGTGTAGCATAGCTCTCAACGAATGTAATCCTGTAAATAAATGTTTATTAAGTCCTTTATTCGAAATATTTATTAAGTCCTTTATTCGAACACTGTATTTACCTTTCTTTGATGATATATATATATATATATATATATATATATACTGTANNTATATATATATATATATATATATATATATATAGAGAGAGAGAGAGAGAGAGAGAGAGAGAGAAAGAAAGAGAGAGGCATCAATGTGATGGGTGCACGTATGTTCTGGATTATATAGTTGAACAGCATAAGTAAACAAATGAAGAACCGAGTTGACTTATAACGAAACATATAACGTTTATTAATCACGAATATTTCGGTCGCACCTGCGACCTTTCTCAACGTTGTCAACGTTTAGTGACATAAATACGTTTATTAATAAACGAATATCTCGGTCGTTCCTGCAATAAACCTTTTTTAAACACATTATTAGTATAACAATAAGGGTGTAGACCTATACTTTATAAAATAAATTGTTTATATAGCTATATAGAGCTGATGAATACTAATTAGAATTGAGGTTACTTTCCGTTAAAAATCGATGTACAGTATCTTGTTTTTGTTTTGTTGGTGTTTTTCTTTTTCGGTGTGCCTACATCAATGAAATGAAGAAGATTGCATTGATATAATATATTATTATTAGATGAAGTGAATAAATACAGAACCCAACTTGTTGTAGTAAAGAACTAGCTTCAATTTCGTTACCATTAGGGAATATATTTATATTTCGTATAACGCGTTAAGCCACATAGCTTGTATTCCATTATTTGCATTCACACCTGGGCGGTGTATATATATTGCCTTGGTTTGGCTCTGTAGTCATTAGTGGTCGTGGGACTAGCTTGGGCCCTATCTGAACTGGTCGAACGTTTTGTTTGGGTCTATACCCTAGCTGCACTGATGAGGCCTGGAAGGCCGAAACGGATTTGTCTGCAGATATTGGGATTCCTTCCAGTGGATGCTTAGTTTATTTTGTCATTCTGATCAGATTTTCTCTACTGTTCCGTTTTGATTTTAATTAGTTTTGCATTATGTAGCCGTTTGCTGTTTTATGGGTTTTCCCATTTGCATGTATGTGTGTGTATGTGTATACAGGTAGTGTACTCTCCATTGTTTCCAAAAACGATCCGCCAATATTTGCACAGCCTTCCATTATGCTTGGTACATATTGGGGAGATTATCTTTAATTACAGCTTTGATGCTACCATGTTTTTGAGTAAGCAACAGTGCTGGACTTAGATAGCCTACCTCTTCCGTATCTGTGGCTAATGGTACTGTAGCAGTACTACCATCTGTAAATTTGTATATAGGATCTGTGTGTAAAAATACCTTGCATTTTTAACTAATATCCCAACTTCATGGCCCAAATGATGTGTGGTTACTTGAATTAAGGCAAATGCTTAATCTTGGCAAGCGGATCAACGATCTCAACCCAAAAGCGGAAGCCGAAATCGCAGTCGATCATATGGTCGCATTCGCTCTTCATCGCCCAATCGCTCTTCAGGATCAGCCGATAAGACGCTATCACTTTGTTGGTACCATTTGGAATTTGGTGATAATGCACGCAAATGTCTTCCACCGTGTTCGAGAAACGCCAACGCCAACAACTAAAAGCGACGAACGTTGCTGGCCATCCTGTAAGTCGCCTTTTCTTTATCACGAACAAGTTTTCTAACCAACGCTTCCTCATCGATACTGGGGCAGAAGTTAGCGTTGTTCCACCAACTCGACATGAACGTAAAAACAGGCGACATGATTATAACGCGGCTAACAATTCATCGATTGCAACATACGGACACCGTTGAATTACTCTTGATCTGGGATTACGTCGCAAGTCTTCATGGATTTTTGTGATTGCGGATGTGTCGCACCCCATTATAGGCGCCGATTTTCTACGACATTTTGGACTCCTTGTCGACATGACTCACCATTGACTAGTGGACACAACAACCAATTTAAGTATTCAGGGTATACTTTCGAAATGCCCACCACTCAACCTTATGTTCAACACAGTCGTGGGTAAGTCCAACTTTGATAACATTCTTTCAGAGTTTTCTTCAATAACACGCCCATGTTATCAGGAGGCGTCTCTGAAACATGATGTAACACACCACATTACAACCAACGGCCCTCCAATATCTGCACGTCCCCGTCGCCTTGCGCCCGACCGTTGCAAGATCGCACAACATGAATTTGAACATATGATGCAACTTGGTATAATCCGCCCCTCTGACAGTAACTGGTCGTCACCCCTGCACATGGTTGCAAAGAAAACCCCTGGAGATTGGCGTCCTTGTGGTGATTATCGTGCACTCAACAATGTCACTCTTCCTGATCGGTATCCTATACCTTACATGCAAAATTTTACATCCACATTACATGGTGCAACCATTTTCTCTAAAATTGATCTCGTCAGAGCATATCACCAAATCCCTGTCGAGCCCAGCGATGTACCAAAAACCGCTATAACTACCCTATTTGGTTTGTTAGAGTTCGTTCGCATGCCTTTTGGATTACGCAACGTCGCACAAACTTTTTAACGATTTATCGATCAAGTGACACGCGGACTTGATTTTTGTTATGCATATATAGACGATATTCTTGTTGCAAGCTCTAATGTCCAGGAACACGAAAATCATTTGCGTCTATGGTTTACTCGCCTCAAATGGTGTTGTTCTTTATCCGGCAAAATGCCAATTTTGAGTTTCATCATTGGAATTCTTAGGACACCATGTGGATGCCAAAGGTATCCGACCACTTCAAACAAAAGTTGACGCGATACAACAAGACTTACGCAAACTCCGCTAATTTCTTGGACTTAATTTTTACCGTCGATTTATACCTCAATGCGCTGAGATCTTACAAAATGTTACAGCATTACTTGTAGCAACAGGTAAGAAACAAGATCTCATTTGGACTGACGCAGCATTGAATGGATTCACAAACGTAAAAATCGTCCTTGCTAACGCTACACTCCTAACCCACCCGCAGCCAGATGTACCCTTGTGTATTATGGTAGATGCTTCGGATATGCCTATAGGAGGTATTTTGCAGCAACGCATTGACGACAACTGGCAACCGATCTCTTTTTACTCTCAAAAACTTAAACCAGCAGAGACACGATACAGCACGTTTGGTCGTGAGCTTTTGGCTTTTGTTAAACATTTCCGTCATTCTCTTGCAGGACGCTTATTTCACATCTTAACTGATCACAAGCCACTCGTTTACGCCTTTCGCGCTAAAGCTGATCGTCACTCTCCACGTGAAATTCGTTATCTAGACTTTATCTCCCAATTCACGACTGATTTACGTCATGTAAGCGGCAAAGATAATGCTGCAGCCGACGCACTGTCGCGCATCGAACTTAACTCTCTTGAGCACCATTCGTCTACAATGGTTGATTTTGAACACATTGCAGTGGCACAACAAACTGATGATGAACTGTGCAAACTACGTGAATCATCATCATCACTTAAACTCCGACCATTTCCAATTGCAACTTCAGACTCAACGATTCTTTGCGATGTTTTCAACGGGTAATCCTCGCCCATATGTTCCATCAGACTTTCGTCGCACAATTTTTGACACTCTTCATTCGCTATCCCATCCTGTAGCAGTACTACCATCTGTAAATTTGTATATAGGATCTGTGTGTAAATAATACCTTGAATTATTAACTAATATCCCAACTTCATGGCCCAAATAATGTGTGGTTACTTGAATTAAGGCAAATGACCTTAAGGTAAATGACCTTCCTAAGCTTGGTGTATAAGTGAGTTTCCCAGGTACTAGACAAGGACAGGCAATTACTAATCCTTATTGGTCAGTTGGTATGAAAGGTGGTGCTATATAACATACATTTGTACTTTTAGACACTTTTCAGTTTTTCCTCCCTGAGTTCACATTACTTTCGTTTTCTATCAATTTGTATATATCATCAACTTGTTTCTCAAGTGTTTTTGTAAATACGCTTTTCACTTGGAATAAATTGTACAGTTCTACATATAAATTAGTGTGGTGTATTTTTATCATCTCATCGTACACTTACACTAAAGTACCAATGGTCTTGCATTAACTATTGCTATGACTTCGGTCATGAAGGTGACCAGACGTGTCTCATGTGACAAGGCTTGATACTTATGTTTTATTAATATGCCATCTAGAATTCTTGTTACTCCGATCATCCTCTCCCATGATCCGCCCATGAGAGGCATGTGGAGGGTTTAAACGCCACTCGGCGTTGTTCTTAAGCAAATACGTTTAGACCGTATCATCACCAATTGCACTAATGAAATTAGATCCCTGATCAGATCTGAACACATTCACTGCTCCTCTGATGGCTATTAGTCTCTTCATCGCATTTATAAATGAACAACTACTCATCGTCTCAATTACTTCGATGTGGATAGCTCCTGATGTAAGGCACGTAAACATCACAGCCCACCGTTTGTTCAATACTACTCCACCTCTCGTTCTTCTAGCTGTCACCTCCCAAGGCCCGAAACGATCGACCCCCACATTAGTGAAAGGTGGGACACATGTAATCCTATCACTGGGTAAATCATCCATACGTTGGATACTCAGCTTTCCTCTTAATTTTCTGCAGGTTACGCAATGATGGATGATTAAAGATACAAACTGTTTGCACCCAACCACCAAAAAACCAGCTTCTCTCACTGCTCCTTCAGTAAACTGTCTGCCCTGGTGATATATGTTATGGTGGAAATGTCTTACAAGTAAAGTTGCAATGTGACAAGTTCCCGGTACAACTATGGGCTGTTTCATGATATTTGGAAGAGTCGCCTTCCAGAGTCGCCCACCAACACAGAGTAACCCGTCTTCATTAAGCATGTGAGCCAGTGACAGGATTGATGGGTCGTTGGGTAGCGGTTTGTTACTTTTCAGACTTTTCAGTTCCTTTGGATAGCACTTTTCTTGTGCTATGTGATTATTATTATTATTATTGTGATTATCAACTTCATTTAGACGGCAATGGTGCCACCCTTTGCAATGACTATCGTTGTTTTTGTGATTGAACGAACGAGCCACATGTATGAGTAGGCTAATGGACCTAATCAAGCTTTCCCAAGATGAGAACTTGTTGGCTCTTTCTAAAAGGCAATTCTCATGCACATTTGTTTAGGACATACCAAGGGAAAGCATTCCGGTATGTCTACGTTCAATACTGAACAATGAGGACCTTTAAGCCATGGACAATCTTTCATGTTTTGTGCGGATACCTGGCGTGTCCCATGGTCTGCAGGGTTCTTGTTTGTATGAATGTACCTCCACTGATGGGGATTAGAAAATTCCAATAATTTAAACACCCTGTTTGCTACGTAGTTGTGTTGTTTAGGTATCCCAGGACTACCTTCTGTCCGAATGATAGGTCACCTCCTGAGAAGGTATATCGACTTCAGCACAGATTACTTTTGCTATCTCTATAGCCAACACAGCTGCACACAGCTCGAGTCTAGGGATCGTGTGTCCACCTTTCGGTGCTAATTTCGACTTACCGAACACAAAACCTGCGTGTCTCTTTTCAGTGTCTTTACTGACTAAGTAGGCCTACGGCGGCAACTGCTACCTGCGATGCGTCGCAGAACACATGAAGTTCAACCATTTCACCAAAGGCAAGTGGGTACGCACGTGGTACTGAAACGTTTTGCAGTTTAAATCATTTTTTAAGAAATTTCCATTCCTGAAGGTAACAGCTCGGCAACTCTTCATCCCAGTCTGTTGGTGCAGTTATCATGTTGCGAAATAGCACCATAGAAACAAAACATATTATGAGACAGGAAAATCAGGTGAAAATGTGGCTGATCACTTTTTCAGTAGCTTGGTAGCATTTCCTAACCAACTCATTAATATTCATGACCAGTCTGTCAATTTTGGCGAGCAGCTGATCGAAGAATCGTCCCGACGATGATCGAGCGACTAGCTTATTATATTATTATTATTTTATATTTTCGCCAGTCCTAATTTTTCAATTTTCCGCTCACGACGACCATTCTCATCAGTTGGCTCTGTGTCGTTACCAGCTAGTTACGGTTGAGTGAATCAGATGACTCCCTGTCTAGCGCAAATTTCCGAGTTAAAAACTGGGGCAAACTGTTATTTTACTCGTAATTGAGACATTTTCATAAGTAAAAACCCATATAAATGAAAAGAAAGGCCAAAAGTTTGACACGATATTTTATGGGGTTACCGAATGTAAGCCTTTGAAAGTCGGTATATTTTAGGAAATACCCTATCTTTTAACACTAGCTCAAAATCCTGTAGCACCAGTTTTTTTTTTTTTTTTTGGACCCAGTTCACGAGCCTTGTTTTCGAATACTGCGCTCCAAAATCCAGTGCCTTCAACGTCATTGTGGTCGCCCATCCCTTTATTTTAAATTAAAAATTAATTGTTTCATCCCCGCACCCGCACCCCCACCCCCTTTAAAATTAATAGACTAAATTCTCGCTCAAAAGATTTATTTATTGTTCCGTTTAACAAAGTTAATTGTACAAAAAATGGTTTCATTCATCGTTTAGCTTTAAATTTACTTGTAATACTGTGTTACATAAAGATCCTACTATTAATATATTCCATCAAAATTTAAGTTCATTTAAAACCAATTTATACATGTGCATGCATTTACCTGATTAATCTGATTGGGTTTGGGCTAGGGATGAGAGTGTGTGGTCTGTGGGTGGATGTGTGTGTGACTTGTCACCCTGCTTCTTTTTTGTGTGTTTTTCTATATATATTTTTGTTATATGTATATGCTTGTATATATTCTATGACATCCTGTTATTGGCAAGTAATTGCTGTTGGATGTGGTTTTTGAAATAAATAAATAAATAAGTATTATTATGAAATGAAAAAATATATTAATAAAAAATTATTATCATTATCATTAAATTATTATTCTCGACAAAAAAAAAAAAGGGGGGGGGGGGTGCGGGGATGAGACAAGTGGCCATATATCGCTTATTTAACCTTTCCTGAGTTCGGGAAAAATACTTAAAAAATTCAAAATGTTGAAATGTAACGATAATTAGAGAAACAAAACATGATATGATGAGACAGGGAAATGAGGTGAAAACGAGGCTGATCACTTTTTTCAGTAGCTTGGTAGCATTTTCTAACCAACTCATTAATATTTATGACTAGGTCAATGTTGACAAAATTTCCTTTCATGAGTGATGAGATTGTCAAAAAAACCAGATCACAGAAATGTCACATGAATTTTTAAGAATGAATCTTTTCATAAGATCTGTTGCATTAATGAGGATGGACTTAACAGGTATCTTCCATAACAATATATAAATAATTCTTCCAACACAAAGTTTATTTCATCATCATCTATAGCATCAAAAAACCCAGGACAGTCTTCACAGCTTCTGGGAACTTGTCCCTAATCGCCCACACAGTGCAAGATGGGATGACCCTTCTGTCAGATTTCTTTAGCCTGTTAAACACCTTCCAAATGAAAGTCACCGATATCCAACATGTCGACTGTAAGAAGAGAAATATAATAAAAAGTTTGAACAGACTAGTTAAAAAAAAATTAGAGTGACTATTAATACACCATTCAAAAATAATTAGTATATTGATATTACAATATTTTCATAAGGAATTAATTATTCTGGCACTAATTATCAATGATAATTTTTGTTGAAAATATATATATTTCAATTGACCATCACTGTGAAAAGCCCATATATAAATGCATTGCAAAGTGGTGTAACATAGCCACGACTTAAATAATTATTTTGAATAGAAATAATTATTTCATTAATTAAATACCTGTACTTTTTGTAACATATAAATAAAAATTAGTTTAAAAATTACAGATGAAGACAATTACAATATAATGTATAATAGACTATCTTGTTTCTCAATCTTTTCTAATGTAATAATAATGCCCCTGTATTTTGACCATCAAAATGGCTGGACATTTGACGTACTAGTTTTATATCCAGCATGGGTCTAGCAGGGCCACGTCTAAGGCAGGTGGTTGTATTTCCGAGCCGAATTTCCCGAAAATTAGTCTTTAAACTAATCTGAATATGTAACCATTGCCAATGTACCATGCAGAAGTTAAGTTCTGTGCACATTTTCCCAAGCCATGACTAGGCCTAAACTAGGGGCCTAGGCCGCGCCATACAGTACTGCACACATGCTAGGCTATGCCTACAAAGGTAAGACAAGTTGGTAACAAACCTATTTAACGCCACTTCTAAGATCAAGACTTCCTTACCCAAAACAGCAAACATATCTTTTTGAAAGATTCCTTGTACAAAAATGCCTTCCACTTATTATATTATTATTATTGAATATTTTCGCCAGTCCTAGTTTTTCAATTTTCCGCTCGCGACGACCATTCTCATCAGTTGGCTCTGCGTCGTTACCAGCTCGTTACGGTTGAGTGAATCAGCTGACTCCCTGCCTAGCGCAATTTTCCAAAATAAAAACTGGGGCAAACTGTTATTTTACTCGTAATTGAGACATTTTCATTAGTGAAAACCCATATAAATGAAATGAACGGTCAAATTTACATTGGAATATCTAAAGTTTGACACGGTTTTTAATGGGGTTACCGAATCCAAGCCTTTGAAAGTCGGTACATTTTAGGAAAATCCCTATCTTTAAACACTAGCTCAAAATCATGTAGGTAGCACCAGTTTTTTTTTTTGGGACCCAGTTCACGAGCCTCGTTTTCGAATACCGCGCTCCAAAATCCAGTGCCGTCACCGTCATTGTTGTCCCCCATCCCTTTATTTTAAATTAGAAAGTAATCGTTTCATCTCCGCCGCGCCCCCCGCCCCGACTTTTAACATAATGGCGTTGTCGGAGGGTCTAACTAACAGTAGAATGAAGGAAAGAATCTGACTAAAAAACGAAATCGAATACTTAAAGGAGTATATAATATTTATATAAAATTAAATAGGCCTAACAAAATGGAATCTATGAATAAATACGTAAAAATATACTGTGTCGGTATATACGACGTATACTTTGTTGAATAGACGTTTACTTCTGACCTGATATCAACGTTGATTCAACGTCAGTGTACAACTTTGAATCAACGTCACATCACGACGTACTGAGGAAGAGAATCAACGAAGATTTGACAACGAAGATTTAGGTTTTTGTATTAAAACAATTAAAAATATTTGTAATATTGATTATCGTAATTTAACAAAATCTTATATTATTGATAATTTATTCACAATTATAATGAATTTGTTTGAATTCATAATAATAATTACAAATTATATTATATTGTGATTAATATCATTAAAATATACATTACAAACTATAAAAAAAATGTAATAATAAAAACTAATACAATGATAATTTCACTTACATAATTTTATTATTTCTATTATCTGGTAATTTACAAAGAAAAGGAGAATCTTAGAAGTATCAGGTGTTATTTTTTCATTGTTACCTTATTTTCACTTTATTTCACGTTATCTTCACTTTATGTATTCAAATGTACCATATTATTTAAGGCAATCGCCGCCAAATAAACAGATACAAACAAACAAACAACCTACTCGCAGCAACGAACAACCTATTCACAGGAACAAACAACCTACTCACAGAAACGGTAGGTTGGAGCATTGAGGAGGAAAGAGTATAACCTGAGGATTGACAAAACCAGTATCAATGTAAACCTCATATCATATTTTGTTTCCTGTACTGTCATATTTAGAAGTTTGGTCAGTGAATTAAGATGGGAATTGGGGGATGGGAGGTGGTCTTACATCAACTTCACAATGTCCTATATTTAGGATGTTCTGACAATGCATTAAGATGGGAACGTGGCTAGGTGGTGAGGGTAATTTGTAGGATC